GATACACTTTTGTGAGAGGAGGTATTTCACACGGAACAATACTATGCCCGCTCGGAAAGAATGTATTTGGCCACTGTTGAAGAAGTCCGTAAACTGATGCGAAATAATGAGGTGCTGATGAAGAGAAGTTCAATTTCCATTCCGAACTATGGGATCTGATAGACTCCAGAAATTGAAACAGAGGGTATTGAGGTTCAGCAAACGCTGTAACAGAATGGAGAAAAGTTAAACTAAAGACAGAAACATAACATAACACAAACATTATTTCAAAATCGATGAATTCCCACTATGAACTATACATGATGGAAAAGAAAGAATTTGAAGAACCATTTTGAAGAATCCACTTGAAGATAAAAATATAATTCATGCCGCGTAAGCACTGTTAAAGCATTCGTTGCCGTCGAAGATAAGGAGTCTTACCGCCAATCATAACCTTAACCTTGCGATTCAGGCTTGAAGTTTAGGCTAGCTCTACGTAACCGAAAAAAGCGGCGGAAATTGACCACCATTCAAAAGAATTTCAACAATTAAAATCTCTTCTCGATATAATATTAAATAATGAAAATACTCAGTACCACTACAAAAAAGACTCAAATTTTCGTTTAATTTTTCCAATTTTCAATATTTACTTTGAAATGAATTTATAATCTATTAAAAAAGATCTTTGAAAGGGTACTCAATTTGCGCCGCTTTTTTCGGTTACGTATAGGCTAGCTTCCCCAGAAATCATTGAAGCTCATCAGTGCATCATCAAGCTCCATCGACTATTCATTTTCACCAATAACGTTGCCACCAACTTTTATCCCCTTAAACAATTTGACCTACTGGAAATATGGGAGCTTCGCAATCCAAAAATCTAGCAAAAGCTTCGAAAGCAGCCTCTTTATCAGCTTCGAATACTGCACGCAAATACCCAACTCGAACTCCGCCGCCTTCATCTCCCCGCACAAATGTACAACCAAGTCAACCAAGCCCTTCCGCAAAACTGGGGCCAACTGTTCATCCAGAGGCAAGCTCCTCATCTACAAAGAACCAATGTTTGTTATCTTCTATCAATGACTTCTGGCCCTTCAATTGGAAGTCTTGGACTAGGGATCCGCCTGCTAATGTAATATTTCATAGCGATAAGTTTTGATGCATCCGATCCAGATATTGGTCTCAATTCTCGCCTTCGTGAATTAGGTCCTGTTACACCTTCACCTACTCTCTCCAATTCATCTACTTTCAACCGAGCCTCAGCACAAGATCCCATCACATCCGGCAACAATTTTATCCCTTCTGCTTCCACACCTTCGCAGTCGATATTTCCAACCGCAAACAATCCTGCGGTTTCCCTTCTGGCGGCGAGGTCTAGAATAGCAGAAGAAGCAGAGAGGGACTTCGAGAAAATTGGCAGGAAGGGATTCCAGGGAAGGAAATATCTGGACGTTGCGACTATTCGAACAGTACTGGTTTACAGGTCTGAGGGCATGCCTGATTCCGAAATTGAGGAGAGATTAGAACTCAGACGTGGTATTGTAAAGAGTTTGGGGGGGAATGTGGTGAGTGTAGCAGGAGTATAATTCGAGGGATGAGGGAAATCCAAGGCTCAGATCGAACTTTAAAAGCAAGTCTACAGTGGCGACATAATTTCAGCCACATGGTAGACATTTCAACCTGTCGTCGACTGTTCTATTATAAGCTTCAAATAGATACGAAGTCATTGGCCATGCCAATATTGTACAGTATAATGAATTATGAAAGGGCTGGTGAAAGGGCTGGTGAAAAGGAATGAGCGACATTCTAGAAGTTGTATTAGCCACTGTAGGCAGAGATATTGTATTATATGTCACCAAAGAAGATTGCCTATTAAGGAAAGGCAAGGTTCTGTGAACGAACCAAGAATCATTGCTAGAAAGAAGCTATGAGCTGTTTTTACCAATACATAGGCAGATTATCACGCAGGATTCTGCCTCGACATGTCTTCTTATAATAGCAGATTTCCTTACTTTTGTGGCCTCTCGCTCTTGAGATCTCTAACATAAAAGTAACTGCATTTCAATAATAAATAGTTAAGGGTTACAATACAAGCAAGATAACAATTCCATTCTCACAATTCATGTCACAAGCAGATTGCGGGGCATACTTTTGAAGCTATTCTGCCGGGCGGTGTGAAACCCAGACAATTATCAGATTCCTATCTGGGAACCAATTCACAACACTATCTGGTGAACACATCCATTGAAGAACTTTGGATTTAATATAAAATGTACTCTAGCATTTTGGTCTCTTCACTATGCATGAAATCTGTCCATCTACCCTCCATATCTAAATACTCACCTAAAATAAGCACCATCTAATTGGTCGATCACTTTCATGCCGAAAATTGTTCGGTAACTTCCGAGAAATCATGCAACTTTATATCCTCACATCATTGCAACTCTTATCAATATCAAGGGCTTTTGAAGCTCGACAATCACCCTCGCAATGATTGTCCGGTCTCCTATATTTGCTGGTGCTTTACGGCAAAATGGATTGGGAAATGTATGCCTTTCATGCTCCCTTCGAACAGAATTGAGAGGAATCCGAAGAGCTGCGAGGAATTTCTCGAATTCAAATGGTAGGAAAACAACGATAGTGCAAAGATTGGGGACTGGCTATTTCTTTACGAATAGAGATATCTTCGGGAATGCAGTAAAGGGTGGTATGAGTACATCTGTGGATGCACTCAGCAGGAAAGACGTAGACGGGGCAAAAGAAAGCATCGAGAATGGATCTACGACACCGGCCACTGCAGAATTAGAAAACCTGCCACCCCATCGACGAAGGCGGCATAAACAATCACTCGAACAACAAGGCGATAAAGAATTCCTTCCTGAGAATGCTTCCACCATCCATGCCGACCGCGCGAGCGCACTTCCACAATCTTCCATAAAACGACTATTATCAGTCCTCTTGTCACTCACCAAACCCCGCCTTTCTATGCTCGTTGTTCTTACCGCATGCTCAGCCTATACATTATACCCAGTACCCTCACTTTTATCCTCGACGCTTCTTGAAACACCCAGTTTGAGCCCCCTTACCCTTCTCTTCCTTACGACCGGCACGGCCCTATGCGCCGCTTCCGCAAACACTCTCAATATGCTTTATGAACCTAAATACGATGCGCAAATGTCACGAACACGAAATAGACCTCTTGTTCGAAAACTTATTTCGCCTGGTGGAGCTTTACTTTTCGCAATTGCGAGTGGAGTTGTTGGGGTGGGGGGGTTATATTATGGGGTCAATCCCACCACTGCGTTTTTGGGTGCTTTGAATATTGGGCTATATGCTGGTATTTATACGCCATTGAAAAGAGTTACAGTCTTCAATACTTGGGTCGGTGCAATAGTTGGAGGTATTCCTCCATTGATGGGATGGACTGCTGCGGCTGGACAAACTTCCTCACATCTTTCTTCTTCCTCAACACCTGAATGGCAGGATTTACTGCTTGGACCAGATAGTGCAGGAGGTTGGTTACTAGCAGGATTGCTGTTTGCATGGCAACTTTCGCACTTTATGCCTTTGTCCTGGTCTATTCGTGAAGAATACAAAGGTGCCGGGTATAGAATGTTATGTTGGGTTAATCCTGCCATGAACGGTCGCGTGGCTCTTAGATATAGTATCGCATGCATACCCCTATGCATTGGACTTTGTTATGCGAATGTAACTGAATGGACATTCGCTGCAGCTAGCATGCCTGTAAATGTATGGTTGGTACGAGAGGCGTACAGGTTCTGGAAATACGAGGGCCAAAAAGGAAGCGCTAAACAGCTTTTCTGGGCAAGTGTTTGGCATTTACCAGTCGTACTTGTCTTGGCAATGGTAGAGAAAAAGGGATTGTGGAGTAGAATTTTGTCGGCGATTTTTGGACAGAGAACAGAGGATGATGAGGAGTGGGAATATGTGGACGAGGATGGGCATGAGGAAATACCTGTGCAGAAATTGCCTGTCCCAGTAGTCGCCTCGGTAAATTCGAGTAGATAAATCGTGCGGAAGAAAGATTTGTATGTTGATAGAGGTTCTTTTATCCATCTCTACTTTTGTATTTTGTGTGTACAATATTTTCGCGTTTGGTTTTGTAGATATGAACCTACCAGCGGGCGTGCAATGTTAGAAATATCACTATATTTTTGACATTGTATCTCTAATCATGAGCTACATGCATACCCAAACATTTCCTTCCTGGCATATAGTCTCCCATCTCCTTTTTTCATTCTACCAATAACACAATCTTTACCTCTCAAGATTCAGGTCTATCTACTTCTCATCTACACTTCCTATCACCGTCTTGTATTTTTGCATTTCGATACGGTGCGCAAATGTGGAATTAGTTCTGGAACCAAGTTTCAAGATCTAGCGTGTTATGTCATAATGGCGACTATGACATAACGGCGACTACTGATTCTCATTCAGCGAGATGCTTCAGTGTGGTGAATACTGCTTTTCGGCGCAGATATGACTCTTTTCGGAGAGTGGAATATGACTTCGTTTGGAGATATCACAATGAGTCCTGAAAGATCCCCAACTCGATTCGATTTTAATCGACAATAATGACTCTCTTGAAGAAGAAAAGGTCATGGAATGACTGTATGAGCACACTACTCTCGACACAAAAGTCACCACATTACCTTCTGTTTAGAAATTCTGACCTTCCACCTACAACCTCAACTCCACAACCCCCAGTAAAATTCAAAGATCCAGTTTACAATCAAATACAAAAACATCTTCAATCAAATCAAAATTCCATCACAGAGTGCTTCGATACTTGACTTTTACGGATTACGCTCTTCTCATCGTCATTACATCGACAAGTGTTACAGGTTTACAAGATACCGATCTAATTTGATCTTACCGTAAGCCTCCTACGAAGCCATTTGTCGTATAATTATTTAACTTGAACCAGTCGAGTATTCGTGCCAATAGACCCGTCTCAGAGCATTCAATATCTTCCTATCGCCATCTATTCCGTTTATTACAAGATGTGTACGACAATACTTGTCAAAGGACCGTGCTGGTGTAAGGGCAATAATGGCAGGAAAGTCATCCTGAGGGAATATGAAGAAAAGTGCAACAATGTGAAGGATGGAGGCTCGCACGATGAGTATGAGCGACTTTATCTGGGCGTAATCCCAAAAATTGAAGAAGACACTTGCGATAAGTGCCCTGATTTGAGAAGGGAAGCGCAAGAAAGGGAATGGGAGGAGGTACGAAAAGCACAAAGAGAAGAGGTGCAAAGAGTGGCAGAAGAGCGAGCAGCGCAAGGAGACAATCAAGGAGACAATCAAGGAGGATACTAAGGAGGCAATCAAAGAAGCTACCAAGGAGGCAATCAGAGAAGCTACTAAGGAGGCAATCAGAGAAGCTATCAAGCTTCCCATCAAAGTCGTTCTCGCAGAGTTCATCGAGGACGCAATTGCTGATTAGTATTCGGTAGAAGAGAAGCTACAAAACGTTGAAGCTGGAGTAGGGGCGAGCTCTATTAACTTCTCGTTTTGTGCAGTTAGATTAGAATGATGCGTTGGACTTTCGTAAAAAGTATAGAGATTTTATTCTCCGCCCGGTCAGTCTGGAGCGTCGAGTGAAAAAATACAAATATTTTATACATTTTTATCAGGTTGCTTGATGTGCAATGCATTGCAGTATCTATGAGTGTAAATTTCGATGTCTCATTACACTTATAATCGATTTCACTCATATCCATCTTCTGTCCATCGTAATTGTAGTGATATATATACCTTTATACGACTCTATATAGTCACTGTGATTTCTTACGGGATCGAGTGATCCACGAAGAGCAAGTGCCGGATGCATATCAGAACCCACGTTCATACTCTGTATAACATGCCTTGTTCTATATAACGAACTCCTATCATTCAGCAGCTGAATTGCTCTTCTACTTATATGACTCTTTTGGTAGAGGAAAGTCATTGACTTTGAATACACAGAGTTGACTCCCTTCTGATAAATCACCATAACTCTTTTGGAGATGTTCAAGTGACTCTAGAAGAAGAGAATCGCAGTGACTGTCTTCCCATAATTCTTAATGACTGTGTAAGCCTAGTATCCTCAGCACAAAAGCGTTCCGTTTCCTCTTGTGGAAGTATCTGACCTTCGATCTTCAACACCATCCACCGATTTGCACAACTTTCAAACTTCGAATATTCAAGACTTCGGGAAATAACATTACTTTCCATCAATATCATACTGTTACCCTCGATTATCTTACTACTTCATATTTACGAACCACTTCCTGTCTCCACGTTCCTGAAAACGCCTACACTTTCTGTGTTTCCTCCGGACTTGCGAGTGAACTCTCAACGTCACTGTCGCTAGCATTATCACATCATTACCCATATAATCATCAAGTTCTCGGGACATCCACCGAAGAAAGTTGTTTTGTAATACTGCAATTTTAACGCGACATTCAAGACAGACCGATTCATCGCACTTATAGAATGTATTCAACTATCAGATTTCCTCCCCCTCTGTGCCCAACGTGCAGACTACATATCTATACCGGACCATGCTTTTGTAACGGCAGGAAAGGCGAACTTTTCGAATTATCCAGCCGTGTAATACGATGCGGAATTGGAGTTGATCACCCCCTTCGTGAAGAAAAAATTACATTATCATGGGAAATGCAAATATTGTCAGGGTGAAAAGTCAAAAGCAAAAGAGGGAGATGAGAGAAGGAGGAAAGATGAGGAGAGAGAGGAAGAAGACAGAGAGGCACTAGCGATGGTGAGAAGAATAGGAAAGAGAAAGAGAGGAAACAGAAAGAGAGGAAACAGAAAGAGAGGAAAGAGAAAGAGAGGAAAGAGAAAGAGAGGAAAGAGAAAGGGGAGAAAGAGAAAGGGGAGAAAGGGAGAAGGAAAGAGAATGGAGAGAGCGAGAGAAGGATGAGGCCCAGTTGCTATGTAGCTATTTGCGTTGGACTTCGATTCAAGGTATAGAAATTTCAGCCTCCGCCTGGAGCGTCGAGTCAATGAATACATCCATACCTATTAAACACTTTGATCAATTTCTTTCATGTGCAATTCAGTGCAGTGCATATCAGCATTGACTTTGCTACCTTGTCATACCTAGGGACTCATGGTTGATGCGTTAACATTGATATTATATACGTTGCAAGTGCGCAGATGTGCTTTTTACCTCCACCTCACCTAACCTGACGTCAGAACATGCCATGTTATGAATGCTCAATGACAAGTCTGAGTCCAAGAACTCACAGAAAGCTTTCTGCGTCAGACGAATCCTCAATCAAATTGAGTCGGTAAAGCCATTATAGTCACTGGAAGCTTGGCCAGTCATGCCGGTCCTTCAAATTGTACAGCGTACAATTGTTCGGTGAAATGACTAAGGGGTATGAATATTGTATTTAGCACAGTAATGACTCTTTTTGGAGAACAGATTGAGTCTTTTGGTCGAAGAATAAGCATGAGTCCCCGAGAATAAATTCGGTAGAATGACTGTATGGGCATAGCGAAATGTGCATAAAAGGCCTCGAGTCCCCCTTCTGTGTAGAGATTTTCCCCTTCAATCTACAACATAATTCCAAAATCTCAAATCGACTTCCTCACATTTCAAGAATCAAAACGACAAGACGTTCATCAAAACCAGATTATCATTATTTAATACCCCGCTGCATCGTATCTACGAATAACTCTCTTCCTCCTAACTTAATTCACACCTTCTACCGGTACAACAATCCCTCAGTTCAACCTCTAACTGTCATATCAGCATCTTATCATCAACAAGTTCTCAAGCCTCCCATTTCTATTGATATCAAACTTACGGTGAGATTCCAAGTCTTTGTTTATACGCACTTCAATTGTATACTGAACAAAAACCACTAGTACCATCCTCAAAACTCATCGTCTCTCACCTATTCAAAATGTGCTGTTTTGAAGTGAGATATGCACCCTGTTATTGTAACGGAAAACCTCTTACTTCTGTTTTCGTGGAGACCGTTTTTGTCACGTGTGAAGATGAAAAGAAAAGGCCACATAATCCGCCACTAGTGTCACCCAAGGAAAAAATAAGAAGGGATTCGGTTTGTCCATCATGTAATGGTTTATGGGAGAGAGGAAAGGCGGTAGCAAAGGCGAGAGAGGAAGAAAGAGAAGCAAAGGCGAGAGAGGAAGAAAGAGAAGCACTTGAAGCTGCTGCAATTCTTCAAAACATGAGCAGAAGGGCATAGATAATGACAGAATGTTGATGGCAGATTGGTGGTGAGACGGTTCACCATCTTGATGTTTCTTTTTTTGGTTTGCGTTGGACTTTGTAGAAAAGTTTGGTCGTTGCATCCTCCGCCTAGTCACTAGAGCGTTGAGCCTTCAAAATGAATACCAATTTTCTACATACATTAGTCGTCCATGAATGTGCAATGCAATCGTATGATTTTTAAATTCGACGCCCAGTCACACTCATGACTGTCTTCGTTATACTAATACAAGCCCAGTCAGAAAGTCGATTCATATTGTTTACAGGCATGTATTTGCATACCAAAAGTCCACAGGTCTATGAAAATAAATTCAAAGCTTCAAAACAACAGTTTTTCCATCAGTTGAATCGCATTTTCTTACCACCTTGATACTCCACATCCACGAAGTCTTCACTACCTTTGATAAGATTCCCATATTCAGTAAGCGCGATAGTCTCTCGACTTTACTTCTCATCAACATCACCATCCCTCGACGAATCCTCAAAACACACACACAAACCGCAACCGTAGACCTCACTCGAAGTCTTTCCGCACGAATATCAACCACCTAAAACAAATACAGGCCCTCGAATTTCAAATCCTCTCCCAATATCCCCAAGAATGTGTACTCAGTATCAATACATAGGACGCTGCTGGTGCGACGGAAGAACCGGCCAAGTTAGGGTCATCGAATCAATAAACCAACATTGCAACCAGAAGCCTCCAAGAGTTCGGTGTCCAAATTTTGCGTCGAAATCTTTTACAAACGAGAGATGTTATGGGTGTATTCAGCAAGCGGCAGCTGCAGCTGCTGCTGAAGCCGCAGCCGTAGCCGGAGCAGCTCGAATTCTTTGCGGCATGCGGAATGGAAAATGGTAAATAGAAGTTGACGGGGAGGTGGGGGAAGAAGCAACTTTGGCTAATATCTCCTTTATTGTATTTTGCGTTGGACTTTTGTAGAAGAGTTTAGATGTTTCATGCTCCGCTTAATGACTGGAGCGTTGAGTTGATATAAATGCAAACCTTTTACACATCTTGATCATTTTAAAATGAACATCAAGAGGCACGCGAGCATTGGCTTCTCCTCGTTTCTTCATTTTGTTAATCCACCAAATCCGTCCCGTTATGAATTCATTTTTTCTATACTTACAAAGTACACGTTAATAGTGAAAGCTAGCCGGAACTTTTCGGTGAGTAGCTCATCGTTACTTCATTTAAATTGTGCGTACTGTGATTTTGTAGAATTTTGAATCGGAGATCGAAAGGAGAATGGTGAATATATATGCAAACATGTACTCGAATAATCACCAGACCGAGATTATTGGGAAAGAATTCTGCCCAGCTATTTGAAAGTCTCAAGTCATACTTGTGGCTGACTCTTCACGAATTTTTTTCAGGCAGATTATATCATATAGATAACTTATCCATACGAAATAATCATCACTGCCAAAGTGTTCCTGAAGGTCAATTCGGAAACCAGAAATGTATTCGATGATTTCCACAGGCCAACAAGAATCATCGCAGAGGCAAGTTCAGCCTGTCTCTCATACCAATCATAATGAATCAACTAGCAGAAATGAAAAGACGAAAAGCAAAAATATTGAATGTAAATCGTATATTCATATATTCATCTCTCCTATATACTTGCTTAATTATCGATCCATCCTATAGGATCTAAATTGTAACCACAAATCTGAATACTGATATAAATATCCTCTCATATATCATAGCTCATCTGCATTTATGTACTCATAATCCATCGCACTTTTTCGAGTCATGTGACTTATTCCTTGCCACCCATTATCTACAACCATCATCGACTTATTTCAAACGCATCGAAACCCGCAATACTCTTCGCCCGAAATCTTGCTTCAGATCTCTTTGAATCTACTAACAATGCATAGCTCATCGAGATTCGAAACATCAAAATCCGTTGCCCCAAAATTTTCGTAAGACATCGACAGACCACTTCAACTAACATCCACGCAAATTTCAACATTTTCGCCTAGGAAAACGAGAGAAGACCGACCAAAACTTTTGGATAAAGATACAGGCGCGAAGAAAAGACGAAAGCATACTCTCTTGTACGCTTGAGGAAAAACTCTCTCAGCTCCGGACCGACACTGAAATAACCCCCACCATTACCATCATCTCTTAAATACGTCTCATCAATCCCTTCTTTCCCTTCATCTCTCTTCTGGACTTGGCCTTCTTCTGTCCA